CTTCCCTCCGAATGCTTGCGCCTCGTCCATTAATTGTATATAGCGGGACAAGTTATCCCTTACTTCTCAGCATGAGAAATACATATATATATATATGTAAATGTATACATTTAGCCTACACATTTTGTTAGATTGCACAAGCAAAATAGTTTCCTAGTTATGTTGGCTTTTAGTAAATCAGGACCTTGCAGTCTGTGTAAAGAAGCTTTGGCTGGCTACTAGATCTCCCTTCTGTCTTGTCATTTTCACAAGTGAGACCCATGGATGTTGTCATAGCAAATCTACAACCCAAAAAAACTGACCATCAGTGACCATATGACTGGCTTTCATCCTCACAGACACAGTCTGTCACCTTGCTGTACTCTAAGAGTTGCCGAAACTAATCATTGTTCGTGTGTGTGTGTGTGTGTGTGTTTGTGTACGTGTATGTGATAGAGTGCTTCTTCCTCACACTCCTTGGTGACCACATTGGTGCTAATTTCCCATGGCAGCTTATGGTGCAATTAGAGCCTGGAGGACCTCCACCCTTCACACCGAATCACTGACGGGCCACTGAACATTCAGGGGTGGCAGGAAGCAGATTGTATAGTTGTGAAAATATATAATGAATGCATTATATACGTCTGCAAGATGTCCGTTAAAGATCGCTTCATCTGGAAAGCATCTGCTGTGTACAAACATCTGATAGACATCTTTAAGATGCCAGTTTTACATATATTCTAAATCATAAACATCTTAAAGACATTTTCTAAACGTCTATTTGACATCTCATAGGAAACGTCCTATAGAAGTATTGAAGATGAGCAAACACTCTAAAAAATAAGTTTTGCTGATCTGAATGCTGATGTCAAATAGACGTCTCTGTGATGTGCATGTGCTATCAGGGTATGTACTTATTCTATGCACTATGATCTCAACCTTCTAATGTATGAATTATATAAGGTTATTTTGTCATCCAACATCAGAGTCTGATAGTCCCTCCCCTTCTAGTATGTAATTAAAGCTGCGACAGTTGTGTGCATAAAGTGTCCAACATTCCACACTTTTTGGAATTTCAGTGTGAACACACTAATGACTATTTATGCTAAAAAACAATGTAGAATAGTGTGCAAGTATGCACATTGGGAAGCATCTAAAGATCCACAAGAAATAGCAATGGCAAAAGCTAAATCAATAATTTGTTTGGTTAACAATGTAGTAAATCAGCTCAAAAGGGAAATATTTATGACTAATTATAACTGGTTATGATTAATAATAAATATTTAGATTAGATCTTCGAATTAACTGTAGCAGAATCAATATCACCATTACTTGATCTGTCCGTCCACCGAGCAGACAAAATATAAATTGTATAATATTATTTTAAATCTATTTTTATTTATTTATTTATTTAGTTTTATCTATTTAAGAATAAAAATAAGATAAAAATAATAAGATATCTCTGCCATCATTTACTCATGCTCATGTCATTTTAACCCTGTGTGAGTTTCTTTCTTCGGTTGAACACAAAAGGAGATATTTTGAAGATTGTTGGTAACCAAACAGTTGCTAGTAGCCATTGACTTCCATAGTATGGGTGAAAAAAGTACTATGGAAGTCAATGGTTACCAGAAGTCAATTTTGGTTTCCAAAATTTTTCAAAATATGTTCTTTTGTGATCAAGAAAGAAAGACATTTATACAGGATTGGAACAACATGAGGGTGAGTAAATGAAGGCAATTTTTGAACAAATTGAACAATTTTTAAACTATCTCTTTATCTCAGATTCTTCACACCATTATGTCGTGAACGTGTGATGATTGATGCAGTCTACTGCAAAGCCCAGGGACAGAGAAACGGTGTGCTCAAATTTCTGAGCTGGCACACATAAATTTATGTTTGCTACCTTAAAACTTAGAAACTGATGGACGCCAACAGATGGAAAAAACCTTAGATATGAGTTGGGTAAACTATCCCTTTATCTCAGATTCTTCACACCATTATGTCGTGAACGTGTGATGATTATCGCAGTCTACTGCAAAGCCCAGGGACAGAGAAACGGTGTGCTCAAATTTCTGAGCTGGCACACATAAATTTATGTTTGCTACCTTAAAACTTAGAAACTGATGGACGCCAACAGATGGAAAAAACCTTAGATATGAGCTGAATACTGGGTTAATGTGGTTCATTTTGGCCACATTCCCACAGATATTCCAAATGATTGCACTGCTCACCATTGATTAGATCTGGACAGACTTTGCCTTCAAAACAGATGTTATCTGCTCAAGTTTTGCGTTGTAATACATGATAGAACTGGCTCACTTGATTCATTAGTCATCAGATTGGCTTCAGGGAATTAGGTTGCTTGAGTCACTCCTGTGTTGAATTCGTGGGTGAGAGAGGGCAAAATGGTGGTCCATTTGAGACATACCCAGATCAATTTCTCTCACAATGTGGCAATAAATTATAACTTGCAAAGCTCAAAGGGATACTAATTCATTGCCTAGCTGCTCCCATGTGCAACATCAAGTGCACAGCTGTTTTCTGTGACTGAAAAGATGTTAATCAAGTGTTTTATTCAGAATAAAAGCTGCAATGTTGTCTTTTTTAATTTAATTTATTTTATTTTATTATTTTTTTTATCATAAAATTGAGTTTAATTCAATTTTAACCAACAATGCCCTTCTTTGTTATGGGGAACATTATTGTTTTTTTAATTGTATGATGTAAAGTTATCCCAAAATGAATACCGTCAACAGAGGAACAACGCCTTGGTGTATAATACAGAATTTCCATTGGCCTCATGACTGTAGCTTCTAATTGAAGATTGCTTTAATTATACAAACAAGCTTTCCTCCACTCAATATGTTATTGAATTCCACTGAAAGCTTGTGAGACAGGTTCTCTTCGAAGAGATAGGCACAAATACATTAAAAAGTATTTTGTTACAAATTACATTTTTTAAAGTTTTGTTACATACATTGGCAATAAAGAACGATTAATACTTAAAATTTCTTTCATTAAGCCCCTTTAAAATTTTCATTTTGTCCATAGAAACAAGTAGTTTCTTCTGTCCTGTAGTAACATTCAGTGAGCAATATCTGATAGTATATTTTAGTACATAATTAGCCAGTTTGCACTGAGCACCAAAACAGCTTCTTTCGTTGTTTTTTTTTCTTTTTTTGTTTCCTGTTGGAAGTTGGAACCATGGAGTAATTAAAGGGAAAGTACACCCAAAAATGGAAAACTGTCACCCTCGTGTCGTTCCACTCTCGTAAGACCTTTCATCCTCTTCCGAACACAAATGAAGATATTTTTGATGAAATCCGAGAGCTTTCTGTCCCTCCATAGGCAGCAATGCAACTTACACATTCAAAGCCCAGAACGGTAGGAAAGACATCGGTAAAGTTCTTTATGTGACTCCAGTGGTTTAACCTCAATTTTATTAAGCACCGTGAGTGCTTTGTTTGCGCAAAATTTTTTTTTACAACTTTATGAAAATATTGATCTGCATTGTGCATTCATGAGAGCATCACAACGCATTTGTGTTGTGTTCACACGATAGAAGACTCACGCGTCAACACAAAGCACATGAGTGGGAGTTCACGAGAGTACCATGACACATGTGTTTGGATAATATTTCCGTAAATAAAGTGGTAAATTGTGTTTTTTTTGTGCAAACAAAGCACTCACTTCGCTTCATAAAATTGGATTACTTAATGATGTACTTAATGACATGGATTACTCAATGATGTCTTTCCATTCTGGACCTTGAATGTGTAAGTTGCATGGCTGACTGTAAAGGGACAGAAAGCTCTCGGATTGTATCAAAAATATCTTCATTTATATGTTCCGAAGATGAACGAAGGTCTTACATGAGTGGAACGACACGAGGGTGAGTAATCAATGACAGAATTTTAATTTTTGGGTGAACTAACTCTTTAAGATTCCGCCTATGGATCCAACAGGATGTCATATAATTCATTTGCATCTAGACAAACACTATCATATTCTATAGTTGGCAGTACTATTAACACAGGTGAAGAAAGATATTGTATTATCTGAGAATAAAATGACCTACTTGATTAAGTATTTTAATATTTAAAATACAAAATACTGTCTCTCAAATTATTTAATTATAAATTACCTTTGATTTTTTTCCCCCAGCAAAATACAAATGACAAAATACTCTAAAGTAATTAAATACGTATTTTAAATACATTTAATTAAAATACTGCCCATCTCTGGCCATGGTTTCACAATGGCTAATAAAACTGCCAGGAATATCCAATGTATGTCAGACTGTATTGATCATCAGGCCAATCTTACTAGGGCCCTCAAATCAACTGTATAGTTGTACAATTAAAGGGCCGGTTTACTCAAGTTCACTCATTTTTATTTTCAAAACTTGGTCTTTCATGATTGGTCACAAGACTTACAAGAACCAATGAGATTTCGCGTCAATGTTTACTATCAGTTTTGACATGTTGAGTGGGATTGTAACTGTCTGTTGAGTCTCAATGTAAGGCATGATGGCTGTCTTTGTTGCCTTTGAAATTATTCTGTGCATAAACCGGAGTTTATTATATTTGTGTGGAATTCATTATGATGACTAAAGTGAATATTTTTGATAAATAGGACTGCATTGCTGTGGAAATCAGTAATTTTGGATCACATTCATTAACAAGTATTTTTATGAGCACAGAAAAGGTACTCAGATAAAATTTTTGTAGATATCACAACAGACTTGCAATTATTTTATTATTTTACCTTTTATTTTAAGCTTTTAACATAATACACACATAAACCATCTCCGTGCTCATAAACCATCTTTCCACACAATCTCTCCTATAATATAAAAAATACATATTTTTTATAAAATGATGTATTTATTTTATGAAAATGTGGTTTGAGTTGGTTGAAATGTTATCCAGAATTCATAAAACGTACTGTAAGTGGTGTTTATAATTTTGTCATACTGCTGACCATAGTGAACACTCTTCTCTCTTTTCGCTTTACAGGTTTCATATATACATGTGGTGGAACATTAAAAGGAAGGAATGGGACCATTGAAAGTCCTGGTTTTCCATATGGATATCAGAATGGGGCAAACTGTACGTGGGTTATTGTAGCAGAGGAGGGCAACCGAATTCAAATAGTCTTTCAGTCATTTGCAGTGGAGGAGGACTATACAAGTATTTTTATGAGCACAGAAAAGGTACTCAGATAAAATGTTTGTAGATATCACAACAGACTTGCAATTATTTTATTATTTTACCTTTTATTTTAAGCTTTTAACAATTAACATAATACACACATAAACCATCTTTCCACACAATCTCTCCTATAATATAAAAAATACATATTTTTAATAAAATGATGTATTTATTTTATGAAAATGTGGTTTGAGTTGGTTGAAATGTTATCCAGAATTCATAAAACGTACTGTAAGTGGTGTTTATAATTTTGTCATACTGCTGACCATAGTGAACACTCTTCTCTCTTTTCGCTTTACAGGTTTCATATATACATGTGGTGGAACATTAAAAGGAAGGAATGGGACCATTGAAAGTCCTGGTTTTCCATATGGATATCAGAATGGGGCAAACTGTACGTGGGTTATTGTAGCAGAGGAGGGCAACCGAATTCAAATAGTCTTTCAGTCATTTGCAGTGGAGGAGGACTATGACTTTTTATCCCTCTATGATGGACACCCACACCCAGCTAACTTCAGGACGAGGTGAGTGCTGTTTATAATGTCCGATTTGCATAAAACTGTAAGTAAACAGCTGCACCATAACTGTATCAGGTTAATGTGAGACTAAAATGCAGAAAACTGTACATACCTGATCAAGGAAGGATAGAGGAAGCGCTTTGTTGAGTGTAATTTACGGTGTGCCTGTAAGCAACTTGACTATGATGCCAAATGAAAGTACTGCCAAGAACTCTCCCTGGATAATTGCACTAAAAAAATTAAGCACTATTTTCTAACTTGGCCTTTGTTCGATGCACTCTTCTATCCTTTACAGGTGACTCTCAGCCATATAAATCTACATACCTAAAAGCTACTGTAGATAAAATATAAAAATGTCTTATGGTTAAGCCTATAATTTAAGAAGGCACATTTGTAGGGCTTTGAATGGATTTAACACCAAATTCTCTGCAAAGAAAATAAGCATGTCTTTCTCTAAAACAACTCCACAAACACTCTGTAAGTCCGCAATGACAACACCAGTGTGATTATGCAAATAAATGGTTAATGACAACTACCTTTGTTGAATTGCAGGCATTTTTAGAGTAGAAAATAGTATGTTTGTTAGAGTAGAATGTTTCCCATGTGCTTATATTTCGCTGTGTGATGGGATCAGCAGACAAGGATATTAATTGGGACGTAAATAGTATTATATGTAGTAAAAATGTTTGTAAGGTATAGGGAAGTTGCGCTAACATGTCTGCTAACATTAATTTATATGAATTTATCATATATTCTACCTGGTCAAGTTATTTATTTATTTATGTCCATTTTAATTTCTTTTTTTTCTTTACTAGTTCATTTTAAATAGTTCTGCAATGTGACAGATTTGTGTGTGTGTGTCTATGCATTAGAAATGCATACATGTTTGTCTGCGTGTATTATGCATTGGGCAATGAAGTAAAGGTGGTATCAAGGGATTTGCAGCTCGATTTGCGAAATGGATCGATACCTGACAGATCCCAGCTGTTAACCAGCTGAAATAGTGCAGTCCGGTCTGTCTTTTCCATGTAGACTGCATTGCCATTGGTGCATATACTGTAAAATGTTAAATATTAATGGTTTCTCATGACAAACATTAATAAATATAAGCAAATATAAAAATTATAAAAAATATATATATTAGTAAATATAAAAAAAAAAACTGCATTATTTTCAGCATTGTTTGTTTCAGAATTATTTACTTTAGATCAAATGCATGCTAAAAAAATTTTTTTTTTTAAAGTCAGTACCTAATAATTAAGTAATTATGACTGATATTAAATCATGGCCACATAAGACATCACTCAAGACCATTTTTAACCTATATGGATTTTTAAATTTTTTTTACAGTGTAGTTTTACTTCCAAAATTGCAAACAACCCTTCACACTCAAAACGGCCACCTCTTTTTATGTATGTATGTATCATGTATTCTCCTCCTCTCATTCTTCCTCTTCTCTCTTGCTCTGCTGCATGGAGGAGATATTAGAAGGGGGTATGTGTGGAGAAGAGGAAGGAGGAATAATGACAGGGCTTAATTAAACAGTTCAAGAAGTAAATAATGCAGGATTCTGCAGGCACTACATTTGTGTCTTGCATCGCCATGTTTGTTGGCATCATAGACAAATTGCATGTTGCTATTCAGCCGTTTTAAATTATGCACTGCAATTAGGGATTGAGCCCTCTTTCTGTTTCTCTCTCTTCCTCTTCCTTTGTCTGTTTGAAAGGAGATATAATTATCTTTTATGGCCACTACCATCGTCCTTAGAGGTTTGACATGGATACCTTGTTGCATCTTAAAGCCCATTACTGTTTATATGTCTTTATATACCTATATATCCATATTTAATGATTTTGATTAATCGGGATTCATTTAGACGTTAATGACCCCCTAAGGACATCTCTGTCCAAGCATACAGAGGGTGTACTGACCTATATAAAATGTTGTGAGTGTCATGTCAGTGCTTTTTGCACAGCCGGTTTTGTTTGTTTGTTAATTCGTTTGTTCATTTGTTTTTGTTTTTTCTTGTTCTTTCTTTGAAATATGTGTAGGTGATCAAGCCTCAGATCTTGATGGGTGATAGATGCCTTCTGTCCTGATTGTACATCAGTAATGATTATTAATTTGACCTGGCTGGGACTCTAAAAAGAGCTGTTTCAATTCATTATAAACTAACAATGCCAGGGCCTGAACCTGACATCTAAAGATATCAGTGATTAATCTTCAAATATGTACAGATCTGCCTGAATCATTTACAGCCTTGCTCAGAAATATCAAAACTAATTCTGAATTGGTTTAAATTATCATTTGGTTGGCAGGCAATTAAGCATCCCCTCTAAAACTGTAATTGCACAAACATCTGGTATTCTGTGTGAAAATATAACTCATGTCTTATATATAATGGTTGACTGATGATATTTTATTATTATTATTTTTTTTAAATGACCAAGACTGATAATAATGGCAAATGAGAGGTGACCTCTTGTCACCTCTGACGATCTTGTGTCCACTTACCTCTTGTTTCAAAGACACCTTGCATTTGCATTGATCAATTAGGTAATTAATAATGATAACTTAGCTGCCGTCTTTTTAGTTTGTAAATTATATATTGTATTTGTAAATGTGTGCTCTTGTGTTTTTGTCATGAACGGCTCTTAGTGGATCTTTTGAGTGAAATATTCAAAGACTCACTGAATTAATCAGTGCACAGATTTCAATGATTCTTCTTTGTAATCAAATCAGAATCAAAATATATTGTTGGAGTTGCTGAAGATATGATATAGCTGTTTAGACTTTTAAAAATGACCTTAATTGGCATATGATGATTATCTATGTTTAATACACTCTAAAAAATGCTGGGTTAAATACAACCCAGTGCTGGGTAAAATAGAGACAAACCCAGCAATTGGGCTGTTTTGACCTACTAGATTCAACTTGATTTTTTAAGTCAGTTTAATTTTACTGAAATTCAAAGAGCCCAATTTAGTTCATGCGCAGGAGTCAAATTTGTACATGAATCAGAATCAGAGTCCTTTCCAAGAAAATTTTTTTTTCAGCAAATCTAGACATAAGACTCATGTTTGAAACATGAGACATCGCAGTGCAACATCAAACAAGGAGACACGGGCAGACTATACAGCATTTGCTATTTTATTTATTATTTTTTATATCATCATATATTTTATATATAATTTTGTTTTACGATTGCAAATTGCTTACTGGTAACAGTGAGTTTTGCATTTCTGTACCAAATAAAGAGTATAAACTATATCATAAGATAAGTCAATATTTGAACCACTTTAAAGTTGTTGTTTTTTCCCCCCTTACATATGTTTTTCTCTGTTTATAGGCAAACATTTGACTGTGAGTCTGAGACTTGATGAAGGGTAAGTTTTGCATT